AGGGGTTCCTTATAGAATTTGGTTCAGGTTTTTTTTTTGAGAGCCTTTTTCCGTCTGCTGAGTCAGTAGTCGGAGAGCCCGATTGGGCAGGCCTACATACCACCTTCGATCACCGTCAGTCCAACTCCGCTGAGCTCTTGCATGTCGCCAACATCTCATCAAGCAAAGTATCCGTACACATTTCCGCCTCTGCTGGACCTGAGTCCCTCGCCCTTGCCCTTCACCAGAGCCGTGAGCCCCATCTCCACTGCCACAACTCGGAGCACATGCCAGACTGGACGACACAACTTCACCTGGTAGAGCGGTTTCAGCATCCTCCTCGATTTTCCTGGTGTCAATGTCCGAGCCCCCAAGCATGACAAGCTTCTGAGTCTCCATGAGCTCGAGTGCCTCAGCCCCATACTGCTTTTTGACAGCACCATCCGAGAGACTGCCCTGACTCCACTGTTCATAGAGGGCCTGGAACTGTGGGAACTCCAGAGGGACACCACCAGAGACAGGCATCACACCCGGAGAAGCAGGGACCGTCGAGACCTCACTGGCCGGTTTGTCATCCTTCTGGCATGATGCAACTGCTTGTTGCTCACCCTCGACAGACCGGAACTGCAGGACCATTCTCTGGCCAGAAAGCACATCAATCGGCACAGACCACGTTTGAGCTTCACCACCTGCAACCTCCATCGGGTCCACCATGACGTCAAGGAATGTTCGTTTCCTCCCCCGCGGAGTTGGGCGATTCATCTCATCCCAAAGGGCCCAGTCGTCCCATTCTCGGCAAGACCTTGCAATGGACCGATCCATCTCCTCGTGCACCGCAGCCTCCACCCCTCGGTAGTACTTTGTTTCCTCCTCCTCAAAGAGTTCTTGCTGTCGCTGCAAGGCTTCCTCGTCACGTCTGTGTTCCTCCTGGTCCGCAGCGAGCTCGGCCAACTCAGTAGCATTCAGAGAGGAAGCACTCTGACCAGCCATTGTGTCCAAAGAGCTCGTCACCTGAACCGCTTCGGACTCGACAGGGGGGTTCTCAGGATGACGCATCAGCATCGGCTCCAGAACTCTTTGGTTCAGGGTTTAGGGTTAAGGGTTGTAACTCTAATGTAATTATAACATATAACCGCTTATGTATTATAACTACAAAATATAATTATGTGGTTTGAGGAGACTATCTAGATTTTGAACGATCATCTCATTTAAGAACCGTGATGTTGCTTGTGAATACTCGTAATGTAATTTTTTGTCTCTTCTTATATGATACTTTAAATAATATATTATTGCAATAAAAATATGACGGACTCTTGGATAATAATCAAAATAACCACCTAAAGTATCTTTGAAATAATACATCTTCTCCTGATGCCATTTACGGAAGTCAAATGTGTCTAGGTTCTCATATATCGTTCTCATTTCACTATGTAACTCAAGTGTATAGTCTTTTTTCTGAACATCATCTCGCATCATTTTATGAACTTTCTCATATTCTGGATATGTACATAATTTAGTAAACGGGCAAATGTAATCACCAAATAAATCCTTAACTTTCAACATTTGTCACAACCATAGTAATCTACAATCTGATGTTTACAGATATCTAAGACATCACATTTACCTAGTAAAATTTTTTGTCTGTTCTTGACTGGTAGACACTTATCGCAGTTATTGGAATAACTAAATTTGTGTATCTCATTACAAAACAGATATGTTTCATCATCACTTTCACTTTCATATTCACTCTCGCTTTCATATTCACTCTCAATCATCTCCACGATAATATATACGTTGTTATTTCTTTAAGTCATTTTCATCAGAAATATTATTTTCTTAAGGTTTACTGGATCACGCTTTGTTTGACAGACTTATCCAAGCATTCAGAACAAGTCATAGTCTATTTATTTTAATAAAAAGAATGCTTGCAACCACAATAGCAACGCTTAAAACAATCAATGTCTTTGACTTGCTTACAACGATAACACTTCCTAGTAGCAACATTAACTGTTTCAATATATGGGTCAAAATCAACTGATATTTTACTTGCTCTTACTGGCATTATAATTATTTTAAACATTTTTCATGATGGGGTATTATGATATTTGCACGGTTCCTTAAGATTTAACGAAACTAATTACGAATTAATGTCAT